CTCGCAGGCAGCACTGACCCCAATACCCCAGTGAGGCGCTAGGGGGCGCTGTGCTGCAGGGGGCAGAGTGTGGCTCAGCAGGGGGCGCTCTCCCCTCGCAGGCAGCGTTGACCCGGTGCAGGGCTAGGGGGCGCTGTGCTGGAGGGGGTGGGCTGGGGGGCTCAGTAGGGGGCGCTCTCCTCTCGCAGGCAGCACTAACCCGGTGCAGGGCTAGGGGGCGCTGTGCTGGAAGGGGCGCGGTGGGGCTCGGTAGGGGGCGCTCTCTCCTCGCAGGCAGCACTGACCCAGTGCAGGGCTAGGGGGCGCTGTGCTGGAGGGGGTGGGCTGGGGGGCTCAGTAGGGGGCGCTCTCCCCTCGCAGGCAGTGCTGACCACCCGGTGCAGCGTACGGGGTGCTGTGCTGCAGGGACTGGGGGTGCATCTGCCCCTGTAGAAAGCAGAGGTCACAGGACTGCAGGGGGGATCACGTCCGGCCACACTGGGCTGTGATCCGCTCAGCTGACAGTCTCTTTCCCCAGGGCTGATGTGCAGATACGGGCCGGGCTCAACCCAGCCCAGTGGGCACCAGGGACTCCACCTGCTGGGGCACATCCAGGGGATGTTCTCTAGTGAGTCCAGCCGGGCCTGGCAACCCCACAGCTCTAATTCCAAACTGCACAAACTCCTCCCTTTCCAGCTGGGGCTGGTTTCCTTCCCGTGTCCTGCTTTCCCCTTGCATCACCCCGGAGCCCCACTTATCCCCCTGCCCCCGGAGCCGCGGTGTATTCGCCAAGCTCTCCAGGGCAGAGCCGCGCACCGTCACACCTGTGCGGCAGCAGGAAGCAAACCATGAAATCAAACAAGTCAGGTCACTGCCAGGAACCGGACGGCTTGTTTGCAAACTGCAAAACAAACAGGAGATCCTACGGGGCGACAAGGAAACACAGGCCCAGGGGAGACAAAGGGAGCAAACAAAAGCACCTCAGGCCCTTGAAGAAAGCAGGGGAACCGGTCCAGATTGGGTGGGGGTTAGGGGAACCAGAGCACTTTCCGAACCGTGTGTAACGATCGCTCCACCTGCCACTGCAGTGCAGCCACCTCGGGGGCGGAACATGGCAGCTGTTGAACAGCAGCGAAAGGGAACTCGGTCTGCAATGGTTGCTGCAGAAGGACCAGTCTAGGCAGACACCAGGGCTACTCGCTCTTGGATCTCAGCTCACAAGCAGCCAGGACCTTGGTCGTACGGCTCCTTACAGAGATGGTCGCTCCAGCACCCCCTGGGCTCTAGCTCACAGGGAAGAATCAGCAACCCCACTGCCTGCACCCCCAGCTTTCCTAGGCAGTCTCCCCCCAATCCCCGCTAGACCCAGGTCACCCCTCCAGCACCGGCCCACCTCTGTGTGCATTACAAATGGGGAAGACTCATTACCCTTGTTTTACAGAGCAGAGAAACCGAGGCACAGAGAGCCCAAAGCCAGCGTTTTCACTGACCACGGGTGCCCAAGCTGAGACCCCTCAAAGGGGCCTGACTCGCAGAGGGGCTGGGCCCCACAAACCCGTCTCTGGCCAGCGGGACCCGCGGGCGCTCTGAGCTCTGCAGATCAGGCTCCAGGCGTCCCAAATTCAGTGGACACTTTGGAAAAATCGGCCTCATGCGACTCACCACAGTCCACAGAGTGAGTGTGGCATGGGACCCAGGAGTCCTGGCTGCCAGTCCTATGGTTTGACAGGGTAGGGTGACCAGACAGCAAGTGTGAAAAATCGGGACGGGGGTGTGTGTGTGTGTGGGGGGTAAATAGGAGCCTATATAAGAAAAAGAACCAAAAATCGGGACTGTCCCTATAAAATCAGGACATCTGGTCACCCTATGACAGGGGCTGGTAGGCTGTCACACGCAGCTCTTCCCACAGCGGTTCGAAGCAGACAGGAGAGTCCTGCACTTGGAGATGAAGGATTCCCAGCTATTTCCAGCTGGCTCGCAACAAACGCCTCTGTTCCCTGGGGACAGAGCCGGTCTGGGTGCTCCCCTCAGGACCCCACCCGCTACTGACTCACAAACTCGGGTCAAGTATCAGAGGGGGAGCCGTGTTAGTCTGAATCTGTGAAAAGCAACAGAGGGTCCTGTGGCACCTTTAAGACTAACAGAAGTACTGGGAGCATAAGCTTTCGTGGGTAAGAACCTCACTTCTTCAGATGCAAGTAATGGAAATCTCTAGAGGCAGGGATATGAAATCTCCAGAGGCAGTGTGGAGATAACGAGGT